GCCCGTCCCGCCCGCACAGCCGGGCGCCGGCCGGCCGGCCGTCGCCGGTCGAGCGCGCGCCGCGCTCTGCCGGAAATTAATAAACAGCGCGGCAAAGCGACGACATAAATGCAAATCGCGAGAGCGCGACGGCGGCGGCGGTGGCGGGACCGGGCCGGCGGTGAGGACGGTAGGGGGGGGCGTGGTGATGGCGGGGTGGGGCGGTGCGCGGCGGGAGAGCCGGGAGGCTGTGGCGTGAGGGGAACGCGATGGCGGAGCTAACATCGCTCAGCGACCGACTCGGAGCCCGTGCGCGTGTTTTGAGAAGGTCCTGTGATTTTGACGCTTCCAAGAATGTGTTTGCGGGTGGCGTGCAAGTGGCAGAGGAAAATGGCGCAATTCCGTGCAAGGTAGCATAATGAGCGACCGACTCGGAGCCCGTGCGCGTGTTTGAGGAAGGTCTGTGATTTTGACGCTTCCACAGAATGTGTTGCGGGTTGCGCGTTGCAAGTGGCAGAGGAAATTGGCGCAATTCGGTGCAAGGTAGCATAATGGAAGGACGGCATTCATATGTAACAGTTGTATGAGCACACATTGCAATTTCGGCCTGCTATCCTCTGCTTTCGGAGAGTTAAACTCAGAATAGCAAGCACATGGATGACTAGTTCGTATAAAGAAAGTAAATAAAATGTACTAGTGAAGCAAGGGAATCACAGAGAATGTAATGCATAATATTCAATTGAACAAAACTCATCTTCTGAAATTTATTTTAATATTTCTCTCATTATTTTCCTCGTTTATTGATATTACGTTTCATTAATTTCAGGTATTATTTTGAAGAATGCATCTTCATCTTCATCATTCCCTTTCTACAGCAGTTAAATTGGGGGATATTTATCCAATTAATTTTCTGCCATCAGAGATATTGGAAAAGTTAAGTTCAAAATATACTTACCATTATCTTACTAAATATGCCACATGAAGTTCATTTTCAACATTTTATTGCGCTATAAATACATTTCATTAGAAAAGTAAAGAATGTTTTCAACTGTTATGCATTGCTATAATGCGAACATTTGTAAACATTAGAGAATTTATTTGCAATTTCCGTTTTTCAAGTTTTCATTTTTCAAATTTACTTGCAATTTCCATTTAAACAGCCACTTTATTTGCAATTTCCAATAAACGTCTGACTTTCAAGATTATCAAAAGATCGTTTTTCTATATTTTTTTTATTTAATAGGTAGTTATTGCATATATAAACTACATAACCTGGTAGAATGTGAGTAGACTGAAGGCCTTTAAACCATTACAAAACTTACATTCTAAGCATTCAAAATGTGGTATTCATCCCAAATGATTTCTTCTTTGCATCAAAGCTGCGTAAAAGAGACTCTATAATAAGGCTAAGTAAAACATTCTAGAAAGGGAAAAATCCTACCGTCAAATGATGACTATATGCTAATCTACCAAACTCTTTCTAAAGTATTTATTTATTTCGTGGCCTGGATCCCACGTATTCCCCTGCTAATCGTTGGCCTCCTCCGAACCTGAAGTGAAACGGCGCCAAAGAATATCGTCCGCATCCTCCGCCCTGCGTGAACTCTTTCGACATCTACTCCCGTTTGCTTCTTAATGTGCTCATGTAAATATTTAAATGATTACTTACATGTTTATTAATTTAGTGATTTATTTGTTGATTGCGTAATAATTTATTTTCTTATAAACTTGCTAACTAATTACTGCTTAACGTATTCCCCGTCGGCACTTTTAATAAGTGCTATTTTCCACTTCCTAATTGCTATTTTCCTAATCGTTCGAATAGTTTGTAAAAATGTTCCTAATCATATCATAAAGTTAGACGTCTTGTCACCTAATATGTTCTGACCAAGCGTCGTTACTTTCCTATGTCGGAAGAAGATAGTTACTCATTCCCATTCCTTTTCATCTCCATGTTTTGGTAGCACGTCAATTTAAATGTATGTGGATTTCCGAGCAAATATTAATAGGAATATAATAACAAAGAACATAGATATCATTGCCATTTAAATTTTTCAATCTACGCTGCAATTACTGCTGTTCCAAACCCATGCTTAACCACCACTTGCGTTCCTTGTAAGTGTGTGTTTGAAAAGTCCATGGCGTAAATTTGGGCCACTAGCGAGCGTTTATTGATCGTTGCTCGTTAATCATTGCGAATATCCGAAAGTCGTTTACTGTGCTCCCCTATTCTCAATAATTTCGGCAGACATCTCTCCCTGCGGGTTCTTTGTTGAAACACTTTAACTTTACACTTATACTTTGTTGGGACAGTATCACTCATCGCTTTCGTGTCGCTAATTCATTCATTCAACTCTAAGGCACTCTAAGCGTGCCAGCATGTTCACCTGCTAATCTCATCCAAATGTTTTGATATATATATATATATATATATATATATATCCTTCGCTTGCCTTCCTTATTTTATTTTCTTATGCTTACTTACTAGCCTTCGGAAGCAGAGTTTTCCCCGTGTCCCTACCGTGTTGACACTTCTCCGCGTCAGTTTAATTGCAGAATAAAAGTAATGCTGCTGCTAGGGGAGTTTATACTTTTCTCTTTACGTGACGGTTGGGTTGTTGAACCAAAAATATTTACACGAAACGTATATTAACTGTTTATTATGTTTTTCTATCTCTTATTTACTCTCTGTAATAGCGTTTTACAGATTAAAAATTGTAACTGCTTTCATGGAAATGCGAAATCATTCATAAATATGTTTACCTTTCTTTATTAGCTTTTACGATGAAACGCGTCTTGGATGAGTTTGTATGATAATGTTTACTTACTTCCAAGCCAGCTTTTTAAATTGTTGCTGTTTTGAATACAGTGAATATTTTTCTTTTAAAAAATCCTGCATCGAATGTAACTCCGAAATATATTTCCTCAAAACACAAAAAGAACAAAAAAAATCGCATTATTCCTCAAAATATTGAAAATGGGTATACGTTCTTTGTTAGATTAGTTATATTCTCTGTTATTTGAAAAGAATCAAGCAAATTGTTTTAGTTACGTGTGCCAAAACCCTGTGTTATTGAACCGTAAAATATACACTGTAAATACTATTCATAATAACAGGTAATTTAATTTCTATTTATGAGCCACATTCTAGTTTCAAAATCAAGAATTCATTTATCCTATGGTTGGTTTTTATACTTTCTTTCATTATTTTTGAGCGTCGCTGTAGAATGAAAGAAAATCATAATATTATTTTTAGAGTTCTACAGCATTGGTTACTGGAATTCAATGACGATGGACGTATACACCCACGTCATTGTACGGACCTATTTGAGTCGTAATTACACACAACTATAGTGATTCTTGTTTAAATGGTTTCACTCACTGACCTAGCCGAATATATATATATATATATATATATATATATATATATATA